CCGTAGATAAACATACGCAATGGAAGAAAGTAGGCTCTGTTTCTCATTCATTTTTGTTTGTATGTACGGATTTAATTTAGATTTAGATTATATTTAGTCTTTTGCCTCCAAAATGTTTGTACAAGAAACCTGATTTGCTGTCAAGGCAACCAGTATTGAGAACGCCCACTAGCAACCTCATCGCCAGCCCCTGTCAACATGTCGCTGCTAGTGTGAACGGGGCTTAAGGCTTTGAGCGGAAGGGAAGGAAAGCTCTGTGGCTCCGCTCCACCCTGTGCGCTGATCCAGACCGGCATTTAGTCTGTGCATTCCATGAAACAAGCAAAGCAAAGAAGAAATGTATGCAACTTGCTTGCCAAATTACAGTACACAATATTAATGAATTGTTCAGGGAACCTGTATAAAAACTTTCACTGTATGCCGTTGAATAACAGCACGTGGCAATAGGTCGTGATTATTCAGTACACCAGCATTATCCCCACTCCTTATTTTTCAAAGTAAGTTTTTCTGTAATGGAACATTTGATTTTTTATTACGTGATTTTTTTTATTTATTATCCACACCAGTTTTATGTAATTTGAACTCTTATTTTCTCTCAAACACTCGATTAAAGCTAATTTCAAAACCAAAATATATAATTTTCACAAACCAAAACATGAATCCGAAGGGTTTTGCACTGCAAGCCTATTCTGAAAAAACAAAGCAAGCAAAAAACAGCCATGCGTCCTAGAGCTGTTCATGGAGTCAAATCTGGCTGGGGCACAGAACCTGGTAAATATGTCATAGAAGAACCAAACTGACCACATCAATGCAAGATTAATTATTTAATGAGTACGATCCTTCACAGTCATCAATCAATCAATCAACCTGCGCATTAAGTGAGCTCTGCTTTATGGTCCTATGTGTATAATGCACCAGTGCAAGAATGAGATCAAGGGTGAACGGAGACAAACAGACCACGAGAAAGGTTTCTGTTGCCAGGCTTCAGAAAGGCTGTGATGCACTGATGCCATCTTGGTGCAATCATTCATTTGCTGTACAAGTTCGTGATCAGACTGGTAACTTACCTTCCGAGGTGAGCTGGTACAGCAGTCACTAAATGTTCATCTGAACAACGAATAATCTCAATGACTGGTGAAACGTTCGAGTCATATATCCGTTTACAATTTTATTGTCGGAGCAGAGTAATAAATAAAAAGTGCAAGTGTCCAGTTTTTGTCCCCGTTTCGAGAAGTCATCTATCAAGAGTGAGGGGGGGGGAAATCACCAGCAAAAACCTTTCATGCGGACACGATGTCGATTATACTGCATTTTGCCAGCCGTTTTAATACGACTGCGGTAAGACTAGTTATAAAGCGAAAAGACGCGTCGAGACTGTTGATGGCCAAGCACTATAATGCACTTGCTTTCTCCTCATCTGCGGTCTTTATATGGATGCGCTCGAGTCCCCCTGGGTCCTAAAGATCGCACAGGACAGGACCGTTTGTTTTCATGATTTATATATGTATTTATTGTTTGTGCTTAATTCAAATGTATACTAGGTGACAATACAACAACAGCGCATACCAGTTTCCCGCCATGGCTGTTATTACGGTAGGCTATGTTAGAACGAAACGTGTGTTGTTGACCAATCAGAAGCCAGGACCAGAACTTTGGTTTATAAATTAAACAAATTCCAAATTATGACAACATGTGCATAGACAAACAAATTAATGACTAAATTAAAATAAAATCTTAATATCTTAAGAAGTTATTTTAAAATTAAAATATGAAAGTAAATATTTATCTTAGCCCTGGGGCCCGTTCTTCGTACGTCGCTAACTCAGCTGGATTTGATCGTTGACGATTTGGCGTGATCTTGGATTGGTTGGTTCTTCGAAGCTCATCCCGGAGTTGCTGTCATAGCAACAGGTCCGTAAACTTAAACCTGGTCTGGTTTTATTATAAATTTTATTTTATTTGTATGTAAATTTCACATTCATAAATGCAAGTTTACAAAGGGAAAACCTCTTTTTATAGTGCTTGAAAAAGAGAATAAAATGTATATAAATGTGATGTCAAAATCTAAAAATAGTAAAGCAATTAAAATGGTTATATGCTCCTCCTTTAACATTTTCACATAAAAACAAAAAACATTTAATGGTTCTTACCTGCAAAGTACATTTTCTGTAGTGTAAAATATATAACGTGTAAAATATGTATAATATATATTTGTCTGTAAACTGATGCTCTCCTTTTTTCCCTCTTATTCCTTGTTCCTTCTTGTTGATGCATGTGAAATGTTCTTTGTTATACAGTGGGAGATGGCATTGTACATGCTATTTGTTAAAAAATATGAACAAATTCTGCACCAATTAAGTAAAACAACGAGAATATGTTTACAATTGGGTGCGTAGATTCAGTCAATAGAGAAAAATACAAAAAGCAAAGGCATAAAAATCCACACACCAAACGATCAGTTCATAGACCCAACTATCTTCAGTGCTAAAGATTACAACGATGGACAAACACTTAAGGAAATCAAGGCACAAAACAGAGACATCAGATGATTAACTGAATCAGCTGAACAATTAATTGAAAATGCAATAGCAATAAGTAATCTTTTTTTGTTTGTGCACGTGCGCTTTAGTTTTGAAATATTCTTCAGGAATCATTTTTTTGTTCAAAGGACCTTGAACTTTGCATTTCTTTTGGTGCGCGGATTTTTGCACATGCTATTTGTTAACAATAAAGCATTCATAATCAAGTATTAGGGCTGTTGTTGTTGTTCCTCCACGCCTGCAGATGGCAGTAATGTGTTGCTGCACCCAGACATTGGCGCACAGGCGAGCTGAACTCATACCTGTTCCACAGGAAGCAGGACTGGACTACACTTTATACAACAGGCAGAAAAAACGACTTCAGGCTGGGCAACGATACGCTACCACGGAGAAGAAAACTCCATCCACCCCGGGGGAAAGTCGAGAAGGAGGGGAGGCCCTGCAACACCGGAGGTGAGTCCGAGCGGAGCTCTGCGGCTCTCGCAGGGCTTTTTATGTCTTTTTGACACAGAGGCCGCACTGACAGCTAGTAACAGCATATACCCTGCTAGCGACGCGACGCAGCTAACTACAACGCTCTCGAAGCCGCACGACGCTGCTTTGCGCGGCTTTCATTCTATAAAGTTTTATTTTAACGCGTTTCAGTTTGACGCGTCGCGTCTCGTTGCCCGCTCGCAGTGTTGATGTTAGCGCTAATGCGCACTTGCTCAGCTCAGCTCAGCTCTTTTACCGCATCTCAGGAGAAAAAGCAGCGCGGCTGGAAGGGTTCAGACGCCGTCAGATGCGAGCACAGAGCGGGCTGAGGTTAGTGAGTCCTCCGCTGAGCGCTAGTCAAACACGCGTGAAGACATCAGGCCCACATGGCGCTGTTTAGCAGCTTCGCTAGCGGATGACAGCAGCTGTGAGAAGTAATAAGACTGTGTATGTACGTAAGATTTCTTTATAAACTTGAAACTTTGTTAGAGATCAATAACAATTGATGTTCTGGTGATGCTAGCAAACAACGTTTCACAAAACAAAATGTCCCAAAATAAAGCATATGTCATTTTTTAGTCCCCTCGTGTCATTCATGACTAAGTCATAATGAGATGTTAGATGCAATGACTAATATCTTAGACTTGGGTGTAGAAAATTAGGTAGTTTTGGTGCCTTGCAGCATTGGTCACCATGAATTTCTTCAAAGTTTATCCTTTTTATGTGTTTTATGGAAAAATAACAGGATATGGGTTTGGGGGACAATATGAGGCTGAGTAGTCAACGGCAGAAATTAAATTTTAGTGTGCAGTATCTCTTTAATGTGACACTTGATTATGGACTTTACAGAAACATCCTAACACTTTAGTCTTATCTTATCTTGCTTGAAATTTTCAGATGTAATAGTTCACCCAAAAATGACAATTCTGTCATTTACTCACTCTCGTCGTTCCCAGCTTTTTTTGTTCATCTTCGAAAAGCAAGTTAAGATTCTTTTTAAGAAAACCTAGAAATTTCGGTGCCTCCATTGAAAGTTAGTTCCACTAAAACCTTGCCATCATCATTTACTCATTCTCATATCGGTCCAAACTCATAAGACTTACGTTTGTCTTAGAAACACAAACGAAGATGTTTTTGATGAAACCTGAGAGATTTTTGTCCCCCCCCACTGAAAGCCCATTCACCCAAAACTTATTCAAAAGGTTCATACAACATAGTTCCCCTTGAAACACATATGCACATTTTTTAAACTGAAGCTCAAACCTGCTTGTTGATGTGTAAAAACTTGAAAATGCTTCAAAAAGATCATAAAGACATCATAAAAGCACATCAAATATGGTAAACAAAAATTCAAACATGCTCATTGACACATGAGAACCAATGAGGTTTCTTCTCACACGTCAAGCGAGTACAGTTGAGCTTTTGTTTACCAACTGTACACTGATAAATGCTTATATATGAATACAAGCCTGCATTAAATCTGCTTGTCATGTAAAGTTATCATGTTTTTTCAAAAGACTTGGATTATATTGCACAATTCATATGGATTACTTTGACAATGTCTTCTTGAACGTTTTAGAGCATCAAAAGTTTGGGTGAATGGATTTTCAATGAGGGACAGAAATCTCTCAGTTTTTATTAAATGTCTCTATTTGAACCAAAACCCTATGGATTTGAAACAATATGAGGGTGAGTAAATGATGACGGAAACTTCATTTTGGTGTGAACTTTCCCTTTAATATGATGATGTTCAGTGCTACTTCACTTCATATTGTTCCAAACCCATAATATTTTAATTAAAATGATTATATTTTAATAGAAGCCTAAATTAAATCTGTTCATCATATAAAGTAACCCTCTGAATTCATATGAATTTCTTGTACAATCTATTTATGACATTTTTGAAGTGTCTATGTTTTGTGTGATTGGGCTTTCAGTGGAGGGACAGAAGTCTCTCAAGTTTCATTAAAAATATATTAATTTTTCCCAAGCATTTTGTCCAAGCAATAATAAAAGGACACATTTCATTTATGATGTGTCTTAAATCTCATTTTGTAGAAAATAATAATAATCGTGAATCGAATCAAATCGTGAGTTGAGTGAATCGTTACATCCCTATTTGTTATACTTGTATTTTTTTAATTGTTTTTGCCATGAAAATAGCCTAAGATGCTGACATGGCATTACATAAATATATACTACTACTACTCGTCCAGAAGTGAGCAGAAAAAAGGTACTCCTCTCATAAAACATACAAATAAAGATAATTTTAGATGTTTAATTACTATTTGGAGCATTGGGATCGCTAGAAGAGGGCTTAATGAACTCATTTTTGTGAAAACCTCAAATTCGACCAAAACTGACATTTTTCACTTCTTTTGCCTGTAGCTCAAAAGTAGACTGTGCGCATTACGACTCATTTTACCAGCACGGGTCACATATCCTCATTATATCACTCTTTGTATCCTCAGCTATCATGGTGGGTGAGCGCCGCAACGGTAACCTGCTGGTTCAGCTGGGCCCGAAACTGCAGGCTTTCCCAGAGGAGCTTATCCGTCAGAGGAGGACTCACGACAGCCAGACGGAGTACCTGATTCGCTGGAGCCTGCTGGTTGTGGATGACAGCAGCAGCTCAGGCTGCAGCAATGAGGCGAGCGGTGGCAGCAGCAGTTCGGGCGGCGGAGGCTCTAGTGGCTCCACCTCAGGAGAGAGCAAGAGCGAGAGCATCCTCATGTGGATGTCCACAGAAGACGTCTACGCCAACTGCCCCACTCTGCTAGGCAAGCGCAAGGCTGACTCCCAGAGGCCTCTGCTGGAGGAAGAGGAGCGGCCCAGCGGCCAGTTCCCCGCAGATGTGGACAAGGGAGAGCTGTTGGACATGAAAGATGACGTGAAGAATCTTGTGTGCCGCGCCCGGAAGCAGATGGCCAAGAACAGCGACTTCGGGATAAGCATCACGCACACCATCCACGTGCTGAGCGCCTACGCCAGTATCGGCTCGCTGGTAGGAGTCTTCAAGGAGACCGGCGCTCTCGACCTGCTCATGGAGCTGCTCTGCAACAAGGAGCGACAGACCAGACGCAGCGCTGGCAAGATGCTGCGAGCCCTGGCTTCTCACGATGCCGGTGAGTCTGGCTAGAGCCCTGCATTTCAGCCCGGGCCCCGACTTTTTTACGCCCCTTGGGCCGGGCTTCGGGCCAATTTTCACGTCATAGTTCAGACGCGGGCTGGGCCTCGGGCCTGTTTTAGGCTTCTCCTTATTTTTATATTTTAGACATCCATCAATTAGTGATGAAAAAAATTGCCACGCTGGTGGAAACAAAACGAGACCGTGCTAGCTGCTCGACGGTGTTTATTGTCCTGCCAGCAGCAGTATGGTGCGTGCAGTCAGCGCAGCTGAAGTGTTCTGTGTTCAAATGCACGCAATAGGCTTAAGTTTGCCGCAAAGCACCGGCAAAAGTAATTACCATAAATGTGACCGGGGGAAATAGTAAGGAGATATTTGAGTCATTTACTAATGAACTAGTGTTTTCTGAGTCGGTGTCGCAAGGTTATATGCTTGAACTGTTTTATATCTATAGATTTTATTTTAGGCAAGTCGTGATGATTTGAGAAGGCTAAATTGATCAAACATAGGCTATGATCAGCTCACTGGCCGCTGCTGGCTGCTTGGTCGTTACTTTAAAAAAACAAAAACTTATATTTAGCGAACAAAAAATGCTCCAAACGTTTTTTTCAAATTAACTTATGAAATATAATATAATCGAAATATAATCACTTTGCTATTACATACAAAACTGAACTATTTTAATAGCTGAAACAGTAGTATAAGCTGTTTTAGGAGAAGGGGGGAAAAAAGACAGGCTCGGGTCGGTAATTCTGATAAGCTGTCGGACACGGGCCGGGCTAGGGCATGAGCGTCTCGGGCCAGGGCCGAGCTAGGGCCTAAATTTGAGGCCCGTGCAAGGCTCTAAGTCTGGCTTTTTGCAGTCTGGTTTCTATATCTAACTCGTGGATAGTGAGTTCTTTTGGCTGTGATCTTTTGGCTGTGATCTTTTGAAACTCCTCGGGTACTCTGTTAGAGCTGTTGTTTCCAGTGGTTCAACGTAAAACTCTCACTTCCTAGGGTTTTCCCTTGAATGAAAACTAAAACTAAAGTCACTTTCCTTGAAAAACTGCTGGTAATACTGCTGAATACTTGCATGTATTTCAAACCTTGATCTTAATTATTGATGCAGCAAAATGAAAAACATGGGCACACAAATTTAAATAGTTGTATTTTTGGGTATAACTTTCTCTGAATATTGTTATATTGCATTATTGCATTATGCCCATTGCATATCTTTAGTAGCATTTAGACTTCAACAACCTTTCAAGATGGTTTAATATTTTAAGTATTTTACAATTATAAATATAATTGAATTCAAGAACAAAGCAAGTGTGCATTAGTTCAATATTGACTTAAACTCTATTCCAGACAAAGACAATATTTCCATCCATGCTGTGAATAATGCACACAAAAAATCACAATAGTACTAAGTTTGCAAAAAAGCAGCATTTTCTTGTCTAGGAATTTATTCTGTAAATTTGTTTCCATCGTAGTTTATGTGCATGCAAGGGTATAATGTGGATTATATATATACACCGCATGCATAATTATTAGGCACGTTGATATTTTTTTTTTCCAAGCACATTTTACCAATTCCAAACCACATCAATCTTAATAACTACTATTAATTTTGTACTTAATCATTTATAAGTGATATTTAATTGTACATGACGGCTGGAAGTGAAAAACTCTTTATATTTAGGTGTGCAGAAGTATTAGGCATTAGGGGTGGGAATCACCAGAGGCCTCACGATACGATATTATCACAGCACAGTAGCGCTACTGCAAACCGGAACAAGCAGGCCTATACTGCATAGAACTTTCCTGTCAGCTCGTTATTTGAGCGGACTTTGCTTTTCCGGTGAGCATGAGCGGTACACGAGCGGAACGCACATTCATGGATCGGAATATTGAGCAGAGCGTCACACCGCGCAGTGACGAGGAGAGTGAAACATGCGCGCTGAGCACTGCCGGGCGCGACGCGGCGCACCATATATATTATTATTATTATTATTATATGTATCCTATATTTTCGGTAAATCCCTACTTGCATCCCCTCCTTGTTTACAAATCCGAAGTAAGTCCATACATCCGATTTAAAAGCTGACGGGGCTTTCCTGATAACTTTCCGCAATGCATGCTGAAGGTGACCCAGCTAACCTCACCAGAAAAAACTCAACACCACCATCTAGTGGATTGTAAAGAAATATATTTTATTATTCTACCAAATAAAAGATCGATACTTGGCGTCCGTGTATCGATACAGTATTGCTGTGGAAAATATCGCGATACTATGCTGTATCGATTTTTTCCCCCACCCCTAATTAGGCATGTTTTCTTTTACAGATAAAATGAGCCAAAAAAGAGGATTAACTCAGACTGAAAAGTCAAAAATTATTGAATCCCCATGAGGAATATTCAAAACTAACGTAATACAGAAATTGCAAAGTTTAGACATGACCATTAGACAGCAAAATGCTCACTGGGTCAGCGGGGTCAAAAAAAAACAGGTGGAGAAGAAAAGAGCATGTTAACTGCAAAAGATTTAAGAATTAATGTGAAGAATTAGGTGTAAAACCATCAGGAACCATTTAGACTCCAGCGCCAGCATTTTCCAGAACTACAACTTTCCCGGAGTCTCCAGAAGTACAAGGTGTCAGGTTCTCATAGACTTTGCTTGGTTAAAAAATCCTAAACAATGACCCTCACTTAATAAAAATAACAATACACAAGTATTGTGAAATACATTAAGACAAATTTTTTATAGGCTTTATCGACAGATAAGTTGTTCGTGACTCTTGAAGGACCAGCACCACATCCTCTTGTACCACTTTTTGAAGAATTTATCTTCCAGAATCTGGCAGTAAGTTTTAGGAGCTCATTTTTAGTCAATCCTGCAAGACAGACTTTTCAGGATAGGAGATGGAATAAAAATGAGCTCCTAAAACTTAGTGTTAAATACTGCATACTTAAATATTTCTTAAATATGGTTTCAATTGTAAGCGAAGATGTTGATCTAATGTTTTTTCATTGTACGAATTAAAAAAATGTACACGCATGCTTTCATAGCTGTTCTCTTAGTCATATGTATGGCTGGGCGATCAATCGATAACGATAATTATCACTATATAATTTTCCTCGATTAAGCGATATGAAGAGTTCGATAAATGTTCGATATAATGTTTATGTGCCAAAAGCGGAACGAAACCGTAACCAAAGTTCAAATGGGAGAGCAGCGAGAGCTCACTAGAGCAGATGCATTGACTCGCTGATGAGTCTCAGTCATGCGAGCACTAAACAGCGCTGTGAGGTCAAGTGTGAAGCACTTGAGTTCAGCGAAGAACACGAATGACTCAGTGATTGAAACTAGTTTAAAGCCAGATTAAACAGAGCTGACAAACAGGAGAAACACTGTGCGCACTGATACAGTCAGAAGACTTTTCAGTCTACAAATTGCCATCTTTTACCATAGATTTACTGTAGTAACACTAACTGCACCATGGTATTGTGGCAGAAATGTGGTTATTTGTATCGAGTTTTATTATATTAATAATGTGATGTGACCTGTATTAAAGGTAGGGCTGAACAATTTTGGAAAATCTAATTGCAAATTTTTTTATTTTTTTTTTAACCAATATTGCGATTTCGATTTAATATGCAATTATTTTTTTAAAGCACTTTATGTTCTGTATTATTCAACAAAGACAAGCTATAAATCATTGTATGGTATGACCAACACAATATTAGATAGATTAAACATAAATGTTCTTTTCTGTAGACCAGGCCTATATGTTACGATGAAATTAGGTGATGCATGAATTGATATGAATGACATTTTTATTTAACAACTACAATCACAGTATATTGACTGATTTGTTGAACTTCCAACCTTGTAAGCATGTAATAATTGACAACATAAAGCAAATAACAAATAAGCACAAATAAGCCTGGTGTAAACATTAATATGAAAGTCAGTAACAAATCACACAAACTAAAGTAGATTGCAGAAATATAAAAACAAATCTGTTGCTTCACACTACTTTAGGTAATTCACAGTCACTGTAATAAACATATGTAAACATGTGCACTGCACTTTTTAAACACTGTCTGTTAACTTTAACTTTTACTTTTTTGGTCGCGCCCCCCTTTAAACCTATAAAAAAAATCTGCCCCCCTTTCCCGAATCCCCATTCCACCTCAGACTACCAAATAATTTCACTAAACATCATGAAAAATTAATGTTTTTTTAATTTAAAAAACCTACAGGGAAAAAAAACACCTGCATCACTTGAAACATTGAAAAATAGCATAGAGAGAATAACTTATTATTATTATTATTCTCTCTGTTATTTATTTATTTTTTGTGGGTTTCATGCTGTCCGCAAAGGCATAGGACACACACAGGCTTTCCTCCTCACCAACGACATTAAACACCGTGTCTACACCGGACGCGAGCGGCAAAATACAGTAGAAACCATTATAATCAGTGACGCTGTGTACACCGCGACGCGACAACTGTAGCGTCCGGTATAGACACGGTGAGTGAAGCCGAGAGCAAGATATGCCGTGTCATATTTTCTGCATTTAGCTTTTAAATGACCAGCACCTGCCTGGGTCTGTGCGACTTCATCTATGGCTTTCTTCTTCCCTTTCACAAACCGATCCATCTCCCATTCTAAGTTACGTCCTTTGGCTGTTTACTTATTTCTTTTCTTTTTCTGCTGATGGCCCGCGCTCGACTTGAAGCAGCGCTGCTTAGACCGATGGGTATGTGTCATCAAAGTAGTACTGCGAGAGCTATAAGAGAGCGCGGACGTCTCCGCCTTTGTGCACAGCCAGCCTTGTACTCTTCTAGGTTAAAAAAACTGTTGTCCATAAAATGCGTTGCACAAATTCGATCATCTGGGTTGTGCTGTTCTGTTGTAACTAAATCTTAACCAATGATTCCTAATTGCATCTACTTCTGGAAGGCCAAATAAAGTTATTTTGCTTTCGCACTGAAATACACAGCGTCTCCCGGACATGGCTGC